TCTAGAGATGAAATAACCTTTCTTTAAAGTATTAATATTCTCCCTCCATCCCTCTCGATGTGTCCCAATAACAAAGAAGCAGTTTCTTTATAGAGAGAGGACTATTTTAAGTATGCTTATTGGGCTTTTCTGGTAAGCAGCTAATACAAAATAGAGTGTTTAATAAAATGGACAAAGCATCCCCTTGTACTGCTAATCATAGTACAATTCCACTGGCTTGATAAACATCGTATGGTAATCGGGGTACTGTTTAGTCTACAACCATTAAGCTATTTTTCCCTAGCCTAGAAAAGCTCTCCTATATATTAAATGGCTCTAGATTTTAGGAAATTATTGAGTTTAACATTCTGACTCTGTTTATACATTGTCAGTAAATAATTCCTACTGAAGCCCTTAACTAATTATTAAAATGAAATACTGTACATAATAGCAACTTCTACTGCAGACAAGAATGAATTTATTAAAACAAAAATGCTTTGTTTTTATAAAATCCAAGAGCTTAAATATTACCAAATTCCAGAATCACTTAAAATTAAACTACAACTATACTAATCAAATCATATATTAGCTTTAAGAAGAAAGCACAAAATGAAAATCTTTAAATAACAATTTATGAACTAGGCTCAAGTCAAGTGAAACTGGCATGCTCCTTCACCACCTAGAACAGTAACTGACAGATAGCAGGAATTCAATATTTAGTAAATAAATGAATTAATCAACCAACCAACTGTAAATTGGTAAACCTTTTAGGAACTACAATATAGGAACTCCCAATAATAGTTACCAGCCATAAAGACCAAATAATGATACTAGTAATTGTGCCTAATGAAACAAAAAATAACATGATGAAGATGACTGCAATAGCACTGGAAACAATCTATTAACACCCAACATTAGGGAAACAGGTCAAATAGATTAGGGCACATCAGCCCAATTAAATATTATACTATAAAGCTTGAAAAAACAATCATGTTAATCTACATGTAACAATGAAAGATGAAGATACCAAATAAAACTAGCAAAAAAATCCACTAACGATTGCAACTAGATAAAAGATACATATACATTGAGAAGTTAATAAGCAAAACACAAGGCATAATTGTGTTAGTATGATTTTTAAAATTTTTGTTCACATTCAATATACTTATAAATTAGCCTTCTGATTCTCTAATCAAAAAATTATTTTGAAATTCAATCATTCTTTTTGCCAACTTCTCAACAACTTTCTGCCAATATTGCCAAGAAAAACATATTGCTTTAGGTAAACTTTCCTATCAATATAAAACAAAAAAAGATGGCATATAAATAAACTGTCTAAATATTTCCTTTGGTCAGTTTAGGATTGTGCTTATTATATTTTAATTACATGTTTTGGAGAAGAATGACAGTAAGAAAGGAAACATAAATGGCATCCATACCACACTTTTAAGTTTTGTTTTTTTTTTAAATGTCTGTCTTTCCAGGTTTATAATTTGCTACAAACATAAAAAAGTAAGTTTAAGGACAGTAACTTAAAATATGTGTCATTTAACAGACACCGGCTTTCTAACTTTGCTCTTATCCTCATATACCCTCCTGCCTTCTCCGCACCATTCCACACCCACCACTGCGTGACACTACAGCCTTCCTTATCACTCTACCCACACCACAACCTGCATTCCAAAGTATTATTTTATATAGTATTTCTTTTTCTCTCCAT